TTCTGAAATCCATATCATGTCTATTCTGCTTTTTATATTATTACCCCAGGTGTATTTCCTTGTAGCTTTGTTGTGTTGTTTGTATGTATCATATAACTTGAATTCCTTTAGTATTTTAATTCATTTCTTTTTCTCTTTTGGCTCCTTTTCTCCTATTCTATCTATCTCATTTTTGATTGTTGTATTTATATTTTCCATGACTATTATACTTACATATTGTCTTTTTCTCTATTCTCTTAGGATTTTTTTTGTTTCTATTAGTGTCTCTTTTCTTTCTTGGCCTACTTGTGGTGGCATATATACTTGTATTATTCCTATGTATCTTCTTTCTTTGAATATTAACTCTACCACCAGAATTCTTCCTTGTCATCTTGTTATCTTTTCAATATGTTTCACCCAGTTCCTTTGCACAATTAGGCCAACTTCCCCTAAATGTTTTTCTGTATATGCCCAAAACGTCTTATATTTGCTATCTTCTATTGTTTTTTTACTTATTGTTTTTTTGAATTTGGTGTCTGCTATTTCTATTATGAATATGTCACCCTCGTGGTAGTAGTGTTGCAATTGCTGTTTTTTAAACTCATCATTTAGTCTATTTATATTTATTGTTGCAATTTTAAAGCTTTCCATGTTTGTTCTTTTTTCCTTGTATATATTAGTATTATTTTTGTTATTTTTGTTATTTTTTTGTTATATCTTCATATTTATTTATAGTTGTTATGGTGTGGTTTTTTTCCTATTGCCCTTGCGGCTGCTGTTTCCTTTTTATGACTGTTGCTTGACTATTTTCCAACAGTTCTGTTAACATTCTTTCCATATGTTCAATCTGTTTCTCTATTTATTTTGTCTTTTTGTCACTTTTTCATTGATTGCCTTATATGTTGTCAAAAGAATTTCTTCCTTCTCTGTGTTCATTTCTTCTGCGTCTTGGTATTGAGATCATTGTTCCCTCAATCTTTCTTTTATGTATTCTACTTCTTTTTGCTTCTTCTCCGGTAACATTCACCAATCCTATAGAGTATTAATTTATTCTTCTATATTTCTGACTTTGTTTTCTAGGTTATTTAGTCTCTCCTTGATTCCTTCTTGTTCCCTATCTTCTCTTTTGATCATTGATTTGGATCTGCTTCTCTTTCTCATTATTTTTGCAAAGGATATAGGTGCTTCTCTCTCTAGTTTTTTTCTGAATCTCGACTGGATTGATGCGAATTTTGCCTGCATAATGGATTTATCTCTTTGGATCTTTACCTCCTCACATTGGAAGGCGATATGTCCACTCTGCCCACATTTGTAGTAAAGTCTTTCATACTGGTCCACAAAACTAATTGTTGTTCTGTCCAACTTGAAGATTTGTTTTTCTGCTGCTTTTAGCTGGTCCTCTGTTTCGAATGCTATATATGCAAATCTCTTCCTGAAGTATCTGCCTGTTCTTGGGATATATAGGATTTTTCTTCTCATTTTTCTTGCAATTTTCTCTAGGTCATATGCTGTGGTGCCTATTGGCAATCCTACTAATTTAAGCACATATTTGAATCTTCTTGCAAGCTCCTCTTTTTCTTCCCATTTTGAAAGTATTTTCAAATATTCTATTTTCAAATAGGATTGACCACATTTTGGCCAATAGTTATGCATCCTTTTCTTCTTTGAAAGTCACAGTTGCGGTTTGCCACATTTCTACTGGTTTAATTACCACTGTTTGAATATCTCCAAACTTTCTTAAAGTTGCTTTAACTGCCCTTCACTTGCTGAAAGGTGAATGTCTCTGACTATCACTATAAATCTTTCTTCTAAATGGTGTTCCCTTTATTTCACCAGAGTTAGGTGTTCTCTATTTTCGTCTATACAGAAGTTAATCTCACATGCCTCCTGCATGTCAATGAAATTTCCAAAATTGGCAATTATTGCTTTTTTTTTTTTGTTACTTCTTTTCCTACTCTTTCCTCCAAGAAAGAAAAAGTCAAAGGCAATGCATATTTCCTTTATAGTCTCTAGTGCTTTTGCTGATTCCGTGCCTGTTGCGAGCTCTATTGAACATGTGTATCTTGGTTTTCTTTTCATTTCTTTTGGCTGTCCCTTTGCCTTTTTCCCCTTTGCCTTTTCTTCGTATACTCATTTCTCCTCTGCTCTGATATTGGAGCCATTTGTATTCTTGCAGTTTTCTTTTGTTACTGTAGTTTCCTCTTCAATTTTCATTCCTTGTTCTTCTGTTGTCTCTTGTTCTTTCTCACTTGCTTCATTCTCCTCTTTTTCTATTTCTTTGTTTTTCCCTTTTCCTGTGTCCATGCTTGTTGCTCGTACTGATATCTTTTTCCTTTTTTCCTTATCCAAGCTTTTCGGTTTTTCTGGTTCTTTTTTGGCAATAATAGTAGCCACCCTCTTGCTTCCCTTACTGCATTTATTGTTTTCCTCTCTATACCTTTTCCTCTTCTTGCACTTGTTTGTTGCTGCTTGCCTGACTCCCATTTTTCTTTTCATTTTCTTGTTGCTTTTTTCAATTTTCTAAAAAGGCAATTTTAGCTGTGTGGGAAAGAGTTTAATTAATAATGTGCATTATTATTATTATTATTATATTTAAAAAAAAACTTTTTTAATAATAAGAAACATTTGAGTTATATCCTTACTCTTAGTTTAGGTACCTATCTTTAGTATGAAAATTATCTGTTTCTTTAAAATAATAATAATAATAAAATAATAAGACTTTAATTTTTAAACTTTTTTTACTAATTCTTTTATTAATTTAAAAATAAAAGTTTCAAAAATTTATATATTTTTTTGTAATAAAGTTTATATATTTTTCTTAATAATATTATTACTTTAAGATTTTAATTATTTGTTTTTTTCTTTAATATAAACTTTTTGAATTTCTGTAAGTAAATAAAAAAAAATTCATTTATAAAATATAATTTCAAAAATTGAAATTGAATAGATTTGTATAGACTTATATAAGATTTGAAATATTATTAAAAATAATAGTGGGTTATAATTTATATATTAAATTTGATATAAACTTAAAAATTGATAATTGAATCAAATTATTAGAATCTTTATTACAAAGTTAAAAACAAAAATACTTTATTAGAAAAAAGAATTTGTAAAAAAAAATTTTTTTCTTTTTTCTTTCAAAATTTCAAAATTTCAAAAAAAATTAATATAAATTTTTGAAATTTCTTAATATTTTTTCAAATATTTTTTTTATTTTCTTAAATATATAAAAAAATTTTTTTTTTGATTTTTTAAATAAATTTTAATTGCTTTAGTTTAATTTAAATTTTTGGTTACATCTGAATTCTTGAATAATAATTGACTAAAAATTAAAACTAATTAATCCATATATAGTAGAAAATAAAAATAAGACATATGTCCTATCTTATATAATAAAATGAATAAAATGAAAAAATATTTATTTTGTTAAGAAATATTATAATATATTTTTTTTCTTGTATTGATTTTTTTTTAAAAAAAAATTAAGAAATCTTATTTTAATTTAGTAAGAAGTTTTTTTTGTTAAGAATTATCTTAAAAAGGTATTAAGTAATAATGTAAAACTTGTTTTAAGCAATAAATTCTAATAAGCTTTGTTATAAGTACTTTAAATATTCTTGGTTAACAATAAAATAGTAAAAATTAAATGGTTTGTCTAGCTACAAATAGTAGTAAAAAATTTATTCTAATGGATTAATTAATTTTGAAAAGTTTTTATTTATTAGAATAAATATTTCAAATATTTTTTTTTTCTTTTTAAAATTACATATTTATATAGAAGTAACAGTTTAAATATAAGCTAGTTTTGTTTTTTCAAGATTATAATAAAACAGTTATTGAAAAGAAGCAATTTTATTATTTCTTATGATCATATCTAAAGCATTAATATTTGAAAAATCTAAAATAATTAATATTATATAATAATAGCTTAATAAACTTACTTCTTTATAATGAGATAATTAATAAATAGCTAAATTATGTGAACAACATGATGGTCTTAATATTAAGAATTCAAGGATCAACTACAAATTTAAAAAATAATTTGTCAAGACATTTTGCAATATTTATAGTTTAGCTTTAATAAACACTCAGAATTGCAGTTTAATTAGAGAAAAAAATAATAATAAATAAAATTTTGATTTTTTTTTGTGTTAAATATAAATTAGAGCTTTACCAAAGCTATATTAATTTTACAATTATATTTTTTTATACTTAAAAAAATGAAATCATTGAAGACGTTAAATTTATTTAATATTAATATATTAAAGTTTATATTTTGAAACTATTGTATCGGGCCAATTTAATAATATCGGATTATAAATTTTTTTATCGAACAAATTTAAACCTGATTATTATACAGTATAACAAAATATTTTTCATTAAGTATTATTTGATTTCTAAATATTTAAAAAACTTAGAAAAAGACTGATTATAATACTTAATTTATAATTATTGATAATTAATTTTCAAGTTTTTAATTTTAAATAATTATAAAGTTCCGTGTAAAAATATCAATCCAAAGTATTAAGAATAAAACTGTTTCTACAATGCTATTTACAAATCCAGTTTTATTTTTTATTTATTTTTTTAAAAAATAAGCCATCTCATTCATTAGATTCTTCCACACAATATTAATAAGTTAATATGTACGCACCGCGTCTCTTACCTGATGGTGTTAATAGTTAGATTGAATTGACATCGTTAAAGATAATTGATAAATGTTTAAGTCATCAATTACTCCATTCCATGTTCTCAACATTAGATTAAATAATTAAAAAAAAAAAAAAAATTCAATCACGTCTAATTTTGATTTTATAAATGTTATGTATTTTTTTTAAAGAGTCCAATGTCCATTCAGAATAATTACAATTTACAAATATTGTTTGATTGATCTTTCTTCGCGAGATAAGATCCAAAACACCCACTAAAATGCTATGTATATCCTTTTTTGCAGCCAATCCGTTCCTTGATCCCTCAATCCTCATGAATAATTAGTTAATTATTAAAATTCACTGATCCTATTTCCAGATGTCGTCACTCCAGATGTTTTTCTCTAATGATTTCATCGAATTGCTCAAGTAATTGGTATGATTTTCTCCATGAGAGTCATCAATATCATCATCATTTTCCTGCCGGATTTCATTTATTATTTGTGATTGTGAAGAATTTCCAACACTTGTTGGTGATTGAATAAATGGATCTCTAAGCAAAACAGATGTGTAAGGTTGTATCGATGCCGGTGTTGCATGTTGAGTAATTGGAGCATCAGAGTAAACCTTGAAATACCTTTTATTTCCATCTGATACCTCTTTTACGAGATCAATACAACCAGTACGAAGTGGTGAAATATTTGGATCATCATAAAGTGTGTTCGATCCAGATTCCATGTTATCATTTTCAGTATAGATTTCGTGAACTTTGTTCTTTCCTTTTTGCTTCCTCCTAGACATTGTTTCCTTTCTTACTGGTTTGGGGGGATTATTGCTTGAATTTCCATATTCATTAGTGTATATCACAGGGAAATTATAATCCCCATATCTACCTAATCTTCTACAGTTCTCATACATTTTCTCAATTTCATCTTCCGGGTCAGGATCACGAAAATATAAACTATTACTATCGTCATCTCTCTGCTCGGAAAGTAAAGGCGTGTGGGAATTAGGACCCGGGAGCCAATACTTGCTTTCTCCACCCCTTTTGAATCGTAACCCAGCCATTATTCTCGCAGTCCTACTCGGTCCAATGTATGCCATACCCTCGGCAGGTTCAAATGTCCTATAGTTGAAACGCGAGCCTCTAATAGTCTGTAATGTATCCTCAATCACATCACGAAATCCCATGCAGTCTTTAAATGCATATTTGATTGGCATCCGACCTGATCTTCCATAAGAATCAATATAATCCTTATATGAAAAGGCATACCTAAAATTATTAAAATATTTGATTAAAATATATGTGTGATGCAAGATTGCCACATAATTTATCATTCATTTACCAATGTGCCATTGCTGCAATCAACATTTCGAAGGTTATGAGGAAATCTTGTATTGATACTGAAATACTCTCTGCCGTATTCATTCCAGCTATTCAAAAAAAAAAAAAGGATATTTAACAAAGACCTGCTTTAACCAATGATAAACAAGATGTAACAAATGAATACTTACAATCACGAATAATTCCGAAATACACAAGGATAGATAACGCGAAGCCTTGCCAAAATGAAAAAAAGATAATTGCTTTCACACAGAGGAATTTTGGAATGGGTCTACATTTAAAAAAAATTAGAGTGATTTGCATTGAATATATAGAGATGCATAAAGAATTACTCACCGATATGGCCGTAAATCTTCTTTAGTGCACACGTAGAAGATGAACAAGCAGTAAAAACATAATGAGCAGCTTACGTTATATATCAAAGAAACCCAAATATAACCATTTGAAATCTCGATATGACCCTCTCCATAATTTTCTGACCACTTAAGTATCATAGTAACAACTGCCAATATCGGTTTAAGGTATACATATTGAAGAATACCACGTTTCAGGAAAAGGAACGCGTAAGGATCTCCAATATCAATATTTCTGATAAAAATGTTTACAGGGAAAAGATGTGGGGTTGGCGGACGACCGTGTAACAAGATCAAGAGTGCTCTCTCTCCACCAAGATAATTTATAAGAAGATTGAAGAAACAATAAATCACGAACGCCTTTGGGGAGTAAGAAATAATTTTAATATTTATCGAAGTAAGGTTTTAGTAAAGTTACGCTTCTCACCTCATAAACATCTCGTATACCATCAACATAAAACGCGGCATTTGTCGAGGCCAAACTAATCCACGATGAGATAGCATAAATAGGAACCCTGTTCACAGAATTGATGATATATACTTAGTTTTCAGTTCGAAGTTAATGACGTGATATAATAAACTTACATTATTATAATTCGAACTACATAACGTTGTAAGGACTAATCGAAAGTGTAAAAATGAACAATGATATTCGATCAAGAATTTAGACACGCGACGGAAACGGATATTTTACGTACCGGTTTTCTGTAGTGCTTTAAATGAGACCATATAGAGAGTATAGATAAAAAGCTCGCCGTGATAGCAAAGAATGCAGCAACTGTCCGTATCACTCTGCCATTTTTAAAATTGTCCGAGGATCCGCCGCCGCCACCATTATCTAGATCTGGATATAAATGTTCCATTTGTATTTGGTTTTTGATTTCGAATGTCGTTAAGGTAGAATTAGTAAGTTGTTGGTGTTTATTATGTACAGAATACGTAATTGGAAAATTTTTTAAAAAAGTTAACCCCTTTATATCTTATTAATTATGCAACAATGATTACCCTTTTCGGAATATAAAGATTAAAGTAGTTGTTTCAGATGATATTGTCTTGTGATCAAATAAAGCCTTATCGTGCATCCGCAAATGACTTTTTATGGAACTAATAGGAGTCTAATTGCTCAAACAGCTAATTTTATAATGTTATTATGTTTATTCATTAGTCGAAAATTACGAGAACAAAGATATTCCAATAATAACTTACTAATGTGTAGATTCTTTTGTAATATTTACATAATATGATTTACCTTAAATGTCTTATAAAATTAAAATAATAAATACATTTTTTAAAAAAATCAAATATACAGTATATATAGATATTATTTTTCTTTATAAAAACATAAGAATAAAATGAACCATAAACACTTTAAAAAATATTATAAATAAATATTTATGATTTTAAAAAAATAATTACGTATATATAAAATTTTTATTCATATAATTTTAATAATTAATAATAAAATAAAATAAATATACAGTATATACATGTATTTGGAGATAGAATAAATAAATTAATTAATATTAATAGAATTTATTATTAATTGCAGGGAGTGTACGATTGCTGGGGTTTCTAGTCATGTGTCAATTAGAAGATCATTTCTTTCTTTCTTTCATGTGAACGAAGCGAATCAAATGTTCTTTAGTATAATTCACCATGTCTGAACGGTGCGTTAAATTAAATTACTCCTTTTGGATTACGTATCGTATTTTCTAGTAACTTGTTAACTTACGATTATGATTTGAATCCAGAAAGGTTTTAAACAAGTATTTTCCTCCGGATTTTGATCCCGGTAAGTGAAAAACGAAATCGTTAGGTTTTAGCGAAAATTGCCATAGCATACAAATGTCTAATAAAAACTTTTTTGCATTTCATATGCGCAATGATATAACATTTAACGATCTTCAGCTGGTAAGAAGTAGATGTTTTGCTATAACTTTTTACGCGCGATTAACCTTCTGACTTAAAATTTTGGATCACAGCTATTCCAAGGAGGAAGCAGGCAAAAGATGCTCAACATAAGGTAACCTCTTGTGATTGCCTTTAAACATACAATTATGTGATAACTTCATTTTTAAATTATAATTGGTTAGGTTCGTCTCATGACGCCGTATGCTATGAGGTGTGAGACTTGTGGAGAATATATTTACAAAGGAAAGAAATTTAATGCGCGTAAAGAAACTGTCGAAGGAGAAACCTATTACAGCATAAAGATATTTCGTTTTTACATAAAATGTCCAAGGTGTTCGGCGGAAATTACTTTTAAAACCGATCCCCAAAATACAGACTATGTCGCTGAACATGGTGCGTCAAGAAATTTCGAACCATGGAGAGAGGAAAGAATTGCAGGGGAGGAATCCAAGTTACAAAAGGAGTTAGAGGAAGAGAATAATCCAATGAAAGCATTAGAAAATCGTACAATAGATTCGAAAAGGGA